CGAACCCGGTTGTGTCAGTGACCTCGATTCCGATCTTTATTGACAAGGATTATCAGATTTCAAGAATTGCATGCCGGAAGTCGGTGCTCCTCTTTTGACACTCCGGCTTCCCCAACCAATAAAAACTGTGCGCCAGTAAAACCAAGAGTGCTGAAAGTGGCGTTAAACAAACACCATCGATCTATCGATGATCGTATAGTTTTTTTTATATGTGATCCTTTCTACAATACCCGTTGTCCTCCGGATGATATTTTCAATCTCTGGACGCTTAATTTATTTCAGTTGATTGTTTAATGTCCAGTGGCACACATTTCGTGCATATTTAGGACGATAAGAAATTAACAATACAATTAAGCAATATGTATGTTCTGCGAGGTATATCGACCTGGACAAAGGGGAGTAAACTTTGGACTGAAATGAAGGCAATAGGAATCTTTTGATTATTAAAGTGACTCAAAATTTCTTCTTTTTCGTCACTGGATATTTTTAAGCATTGTTAATAATGCTAAACAATTCAATAGTCAACACATTATCTAGCATATAACAGTTATACCAATAAGAAGCATATATACAAATTCCATTATGATATTCATAAATGCAGGCTCTTGATTACTCATATTCAATTCAATTCAGTTCAAAACTTTATTGGTTACGTCAGAGACATATATTATTATATGTCTCTGGTTACGTTAATGTTTGCATTGGAATATAAATCAACTGATACATATGATTTGTGGCAATATAAACAAAACATAGTATAAAACAAACACCCATTGGATGTGTACTGATTAATATTTTAGTCTTGGATACTTGTTTTTTTATTAATTATTGGCTTTGAACTAGCTTTCAGTAACTGCGAGTACCCCCAGTTCGGCACTTTGTGTCTTAATTCTTTTAGTTTAGTTGTTTTTATGTGCCTTGTGTCTATCTATTGAGTCAAGCCTTTTCCAGCTGGTTTTTAAATGTTTTTTGTTGATGTTGTGCTTTTACACCGCTCTCAGGTTAGGGGGTGATTGACCGCCGCAAACATATTGAACCCCGCTACATTCTGTATGTACCTATCCGCCAAGCCTGTTATTCAGGGGTTGTCGTTTTTTACTTTATATCATATTATTTGTTTTCGTTTATTGTTTAGTAAATACATGATCCGGCATTTAGTTTTTCTCGTTTGAATAATTTACATTTGTCATGTCGGGGGTCTTTTATATATAGCTTGCTATATATGTGATATTGATTATGTGCATTGTTGAAGGCCGTAAGGTGACCAATAGTTGCTAACTTCTATGTTATTTTGTCTCAGGTGGGTAGTTGTCCCCTTCCCCCGGCTAGCTCATATCACAGGCATGTATGTCTCTGCTCATATACACCCAGTCTGTCAGTTAGTCAGTTTCACTGTTAATATTTAACGGAGGTTGAAATTTATCACAATAGTATTCCAAATTATTTAGCTATTTTGTAAACCTTGTTTATTTTCTGATAGTACAAGTACGTCATCTGCAAACATAAGACAAATAACCTCATAAGAAACTATAGGATGATTACCTTTTTTTTTTGTAGATTTCAAAATCAATATCATTTAAAAATGTTTTAAACAAAGATGGACTCAAAGAATCTCCCTGTTTCACCTCTCTTGATATTTCAAAAAAGATCTGAGTGCTCATTTTTGTCGCGAGACATAAGTATTACTATCCGTCGGCGGCGGCGGCGATGTAAACTATGTGTATAAGCTTTATATTTCAGAAGCTGTACAAAACCTGGATGCATCATATCTTGTATGCAGATACCTTAAGTTACGAACTTTCTGTCTGTCATATGTCCATTGTCATTGACCTCATTTTCATGGTTCAGCGACTGCTTGAAAAAAAAATGAGTTTTTTTATCATGTGAATTTCTCACTTATTATGAGTAATAAGATAACTATATTTGGTATATGGGTTCCTTGCAACGTCTACATGTCCGTCAGACAGGGTTCACCTGACCTCGACCTCATTTCATGGATCAGTGATCAAGGTTAAAGTTACGTGATTAGGTTCATTTCTCAAATACTATAAGCAGACGTCAACTATATGTGGTGTATGGAATGATTGTAATGGGTACATGTCCGACTGGCATGTTTCATATGACCTTGACGTCATTTTCATGGTTCATTGGTCAATATATAATGTTAATTGAATTTTGTATTTTGGTCTGTTTTTCAAGTACTATAAGCAATAGGTCAACTATATCTGGTGTATGGAATGATTGTAAGATGTACATGTCTGTCAGGCTGGCAGGTCAGTATATCATCTGACTTTGACCTCATTTTTATGGTTCAATGGTCAATGTTCAGTTTTTGTGTTTTGGTCTTTTTTACAGATACTAGCAATAGGTCAGCTATATTTGGCGTATGGAATAATTGTAAGGTGTACATGTCTGTCTTGCAGGTATAATCTGACCTTCACCACATTTTCATGGTTCATTGGTCAATGTTAAGTGTTTGGGTTTGTGTCTGTTTTTCAATTATTAAAACGCAATAGGCCAACTATATTTGGTGTATAAAAGAATTGTAAGGTGTATATGTCTGTCTGACAGGATTTATCTGACCTTGCCGTGACCTCATTGTCATAGATCTTTAAACTTGCCATGTTAAGTTTCTGTAATCGCGGCTTTTAGTAAAACCTTTATCTTTAAAAACATTTCAGCATGTGCACTCTTGTTTCAATTTGATGGCCGATTGAGTTTCAATATTATGCCGTTTAATTGTATTATACTTTTCTTACCAACTCCTGGCTTGTATAGTTATGTTATTGGAGGGATTTTCTCCTGACTAATGCTATTTTGAAAATCTTCCTTAGGTCTATAAAACCAGAGACATATAATTAAAACATGCATATTCAATCCTCCTTATTTAATCTTGAAAATATTTATAAAAATCTCCAGTGTGAGAAACTTCATCTCAAATTCTCAAAATTTAAACTTGGTGTACACAAAAGAAGTGTAAATTTTGCTGTATAATCAGAACTGGGGCGTGTCCCCCTTCATTATGATATTGTAAAGTCAATTGTTAAATACTGGTATAGATTTGAAAATCTTCAGTCTGATAGACGCTTATAGATGCAGCCAAGAGCTTCACAAATCTAACATAACTTCTTGGTTCTCATTTGTTAAGAAATTATTAGAAGTTTTTGAAATCAAACAAGAAGTAAAACATTTTGAACAATATAAATTTTTGAATATATCCTGGGACTATTATACTAAGTAATATAACTATAATAGTCCCAGACATATCTAACAAATTAATTCACATTAAATATATAAACAATTGGTATGTTAGCCAAAAAAAAAATGCTTCTGATGGAATATTGTTCAATTATTTGAAATTTAAACAAAATGTTGGCTATGAAAATTATCTCTCTTTGATTAAGAACTTTGATTTTAGAAGAGCTATTTGTAAATTACGTATATCTGCTCATAAGCTTCAAATAGAATTTGGCCGTTTTTCAAATATTCCACGAAATAAAAGAATTTGCAAAAAATGCTCCTCTGGCTGTATAGAAGATGAAATCCATTTTTTACTTCATGTGAAAAATTTAACTCAGATAGAGATGCTCTCTTTGACTTTGTTTGCCATAAAATGCCAAACTTTACTTTACTGGACAATCAGCAAAAATTCATATATTTATTGAGCTGTGGAAAATTTATTCAATAAAATTGAGAATGGAAATGGGGAATGTGTCAAAGAGACAACAACCCGACCATAGAGCAGACAACAGCTGAAGGCCACCAATAAATCAAGTCAATATGAGTTAGATGTATTTATTTCTCATATAAATATATTAAATACTTTAAACCAAGGGCTTTTTTACAGTCTAATTGTATTGTAATTGTGTATTTAAGGTTTATGACCCCTTCTGTGGCCTGTCAATTACGAAATTTTCAAACTGCAATAGTATCAAAACAGCAAAGATAATGAATAAAAGAGATGGACCATTTTGTACACATATCAAGGGGAAACTTCGTGTAAAGCATTATTATTTATAGTTTAATTGCATTTAGTAGAAAAAGAGAATTTGGTGAAAATAAAAGCAATATTTTTGTAGAAAATCCACAGGCTTTAATACAGGGATTTTTGTTATAAAATTTTAAACATAGATTACTCACTTGTTTTTCTAAGATCAGCTAGCGTTAACTTTATTGTTTACAAAAAGTTCTTAACAACATATGCTTTAAATTCCAAAGCACTAGCTCGTGCTTGGTCACTTAAGTCGAGCGCACTCTAAAAGGTGTACTTGAATTGGTCCATATTTATATTTGTTTTAACCAATATCTGAATTTATAAACTTGTTTTAAAAGAATTATTGCTAGCACTGCATGCAATACTCCTGTATTTATCAAGCATATAATTGTCAAATATGAGAGTACAAGCGGAAAGGCTGTGGATTTTCTATAAAATTTCCTTATGTTTAGCATTGAATCAACACAAGGGTATATAATCCTTAAATTCTTTGTATCTATGCTAATCAATGTTCTTTTTCCTTATACTTGTATTCTCTATATGCCCCTTGTTGTCCCTTAATTGGTGATAAAATATAACTTATCGTATCTTATTCATTATTGTGAAAATACTTATTTATTAATTAGTGACTTCAAAGACATATAATACAAAAGTATTATATGTCTCTGGTGACTTCAATCTGAGACTACTATAACAACATGTGTTATAGTAGTCTCATCTTCAATACAAAGATACTGTCCGAGGTTCTATGATTCTTGCAAATAACGCTCCCGACTTAGTTACGGTATAAACATTGATAGGCTCCCCTTAACAAGTGCTTGTATTCATGCGCCACAACTTCCGGTAATTTTACAAGCAAACGAAAATTTAACCAACGAAACCATATGCCGCTAGCAAAAGCTTTTAACATTTTTGGTAGAATGATAAATATTAAAAAAATATTTCGATCTCTAAAAAAAGATGTGTTTGGTATTTGATCTAGTATTTATTTTGAATGGGTAGTGATAAAAATTTGGTGTTGTTTGGTCATTATTATGCCGGGGTCAAACTCCAATTATATTTTTAGGATTGCACAGTCTTTGAGCCGGACTCTGTACTCTGTCATTGACAACATGTCTCTCGTAAAGTGTGGAGTGTTTTTCACACTCGGTGCAATTTTGTCCTTTGGATTAGGGTTTTCTTGCCAAATAACAACTCTTCTAATTATAGCTACATATTTAGCTACTGGAGGCTGGAAATTCATATGGGTAGTGATAAATACACTACCTAGAGATGCTAAGTAAGTATAAAATCAAAAGAATTTGTTGGATTAAAGTCCAAGCAGTGGAATACCACTTCTACCAGTTAGTGACCACCGTCATCACCACTATAACATTAAAACAACACAACTAACAGCACAATGCATTTATTTGTGACATCATGCAGTTAGTGAGTTACAGATGTATATAAACTGAATAGGTTATTTCTTAAATCATGTCTTTCACCTGAAACGGTTGTCAATTACGCACCCCCTTATAACGTCATTTACCAAATAAAAGATGTTCCTGTATCCCTAGTTTCAAGCATCTTCAGGATCGTCATTCTGCAGTATAGTCTAGAAATAATTTATTTTCCGTGGGTATGTAATCCATATGTCATGTAAGACTGAAGGGAGGGTGACCAACATATTAGATTTTTATTTCCATAATAATTCGTGTAGTATAGCATCAAACTTCCGGCTGTGTTGAAGACCCATTGGTGACCTTTTTCTGTTTTCTGCACTGTCAGTCAGGGGTACTACTTGTACAAGTAATTTTTATTTACTTGAAGAAGTAATATTAAAATACTTATATAAGTAAATTTGTAGGATACTTATACAAGTGTATTTTATTTACTTGTATAGGTAAAAAAAAAATGACTTAGTTATGTCCCTTAGAAATTCAGATTTTTTTACTTATATAAGTGAATAAGTCATCCTATCTTCTTTTCTTGAATTCTTAGGACTAAATCTTTGCTCTAATAGAATTTTAAATTGTCTGTCCTTTGCAGATGTCATTAATCATTTAAGTGTAATTTCATGGACAATGAAAATCTCATTGGTCTGTTATCTTCAATACACTGCTCATTTTAAGGCCCCTAAGGAGCAATTTTTGAAGGCCTTTCGCAAATTCTATACTTAACATCCTTGGGCAATCAGTTTCTTTGTTGAATTAATGAGATGAAACATTGAACTCTAATAAAAAATTATGAGCTAACCTGGGAAAAATCATTAAAGCCATGTTTTTACATCTCAAAACCTGAGAATTTTTGTGGGATTGTAAAAAAAATTTACTTATACAAGTGAATTTTTGAGAAAATTAAGGGGAGATTATTCAAACATTATAATTAACTTATATAAGCGGTCTCACTAATTAGCGACAAGAAGCGTAAAGAAGCGACAAGAAGAATCATTTTAGCGAAAAGAAGACTATTTAGCGACAAGAAAACATTTTTTTTTATTAAAATTACTTATTCCAAATAAATATTAAAAGAATATGCAAAGAAAAACAATTTTAGCGGCAAGAAAGTCAATATTCTATCGATAAATAGATAGAAAAAAATTTGAAACATAGATCTAATTGCTACATTTATTTGTGATATTTTATTATTTGTTATGTATAACAGCAAGTATTACATTTACCCTGTCGTATTATGATATTAATCTTATGATTTGTTTTTAAAACTCTCTTTAATATTATACACTATATAATAAACTTGCAAAATGCATCATTTGTGCATCATTGTCCAGAAAATACAGACACAAATTCAAACAAGAGTAAAACATAAATGTGAATATTTTTCATCATTTTATTTTGTGTATTGCCTCATTTAACGATATTCATCATGTTAATTTTATGAATAGTTTAATGTTGGTTGAAGATTAAAGGAAATTAATGACAATCTTGAGTTTTAAACAGGTGTTCAAAATTTTCAATGATTGTATATTCTGGCGCGTGTAATTGTATAGTCTGACGCGTGTACAAAGTTGCCGTGACAAACTAAATCCCTTAGGATAAGGGTTTTCCTCTTGGGCAAAGGAAATAGTAAGGGAAGTTATACCCTGCATTATTAAACTTCCACTCTAAAAAAAACTACTCAATCCCTTTCTTCCTCACAAATGTTTAATTTCTTCATCTATCAATATATTAAAAAAACAAATATTAATTTATTCCTGCCCATATGTTAAAAAAAAAATCAATTGCATATTTTTTAATATTTATTTGGAATAAGTAATCTTAATAAAAAAAATGTTTTCTTGTCTCTAAATAGTCTTCTTGTCGCTAAAATTATTCTTCTTGTGGCTTCTTGACGCTTCTTGTCGCTTCTTGACGCTTCTTGTCGCTAATTAGTGAGACCCTATATAAGTATATTTTTTTTACTTCTTCAAGTAAATAAAGATTACTTGTACAAGTAGTACCCCTGACTGACTGTGGTCGGGTTGTTGTCTCTTTGACACATTCCCCGTTTCCAATCTCAATTCTATTCCACTTCAAAAATTCGACCACACTTTTCTTTTTTAACCCCTTCACCTGTATGAAACTGACAGTAAGGCGACATCACCCATATATTGATCTTTTCATGCAGACAAGGATGTAAATGTATTGATTCCATCTGTGCATAGATTTCTGATATAATGTGTGTAAAATGAAATTGGACACAGAAAAAACAGACTCTCTTTGGAACTAAAGTATAACTGCTAAGCTTGGATACTAGTCTTGTGTCTGGGACCCTCACAACAACAAGAAATCGACCAAATTGAGATGGTCCAACGAAGATCTGCTTGCTATACTTCTGGTAGATACAACAATACCAGCTCAAAATCTGTCTCAAATATGCTACAACACCTGCATGTACAGTGGCCTACACTATAAGTAAGATGCTTCAAACTAGACCAATTTTTCCTTATTTTTATAGTGGTATTCTATAAAATTAAACAACATCATTAAACAATCTACCCTAAGAACTTTTCATTACATTAAACAGGAGAATCTGGACATATATATATATTCAAGAGTCTATCCTAAATTGAGGTAAATTATATGGCCTTCCAAATACCATTTCGATTCCTCACATCACTGAAGAGACATTAATTGTCGAAATCTGGATATGATGTACTAAAATAAAATTTTTGCACCTTTTGTTTGCGGTATACCATCTTTTCCGCAAGTTTAGTGTTTTCTGTTTGATATTAAATTAATATTTAAGATCCATTTTGTTACATCTGGTGATCATTTTATTTGGCAATCGTCAATGGCAGTCAGCAGGGTTTAAGAACATCTGTAGTCAAATGCGTTTTGTTAAAATATACTTTGTCACTTTTTTTGTGTTTTGGAAAATGTTGTTTGTGCTGTATTTAGACCCCTTTACCAAGAAATTTGTTTTGCATACACATGTATAAAAATTGCGGTTTTTATCCAACGCAATCATAGGTTTGAATGTTGTTTTCAATTTAGACTTGTATATATATATATATATATATATAAACATACTAACCATTATAAACAAATTCAAACCAATAAGGATTCATACAAATTTTCATTTTATCTACACAATATAGTACACTGGAATCTGCTACAACAACAGCAATTCTTTATGTGAGCTGCGTAGGATAGAAATTGAGCTTATGCAAATGAATATCAATACACCTATTTCTGGTTGAAAAAACCTCAATACAAAGTCTGTAACTATTTGAAAATTGAGTTAAAATAAGAACCGACAAAATAGACCAACATTAAAATTTTAGCATTTATTTCGTTAATGAATGTTCCAAAATTAATCAAAGTCTTATTCATGTACATGTTTCCGTGCACTTGCATAAGGTTGATTTCTATCCAACCCAGCTCATGTTTAGCAGTTGAGGCCAAAGAGCGGATTTCTATATATCGATAAAAACTGTTAACATATATGTACATAGTTTAACTAAGAAATATACATAGGATAACAAACCACAAAAAAATATCAATCCCTGTATTATTTAATTTTTCTATTCACCAAATTTTACATAATATTACTTAAAATTTATTTCTTTTTTATAATGAAAGCTTTTATTATGATTTACATTCTTTCAGTACTAAAAATAATTGTTTGGTACTCCACTTACCGTGACTAATCATGCTATTAGCGATTACTTGGGAGGTGGAGGTGTCTTAATATCATTAAAGTTATGTTTAGAAAATATTTACCCTCAATTAGCATAAGATAAGATATTTTATTGGTCAATGTCATAGGGATGAGGATGCTGTATATAGTATAAGTAATTTTTTAGACCTTCTTAAGGTATTCTTGAAACCTTTCATTTAACATGTTTATTTAAAGACATTTACATTTTTTACAGGGCATTGACAGTATTAATCAAGTTAAAGTTGGCCACAAAGAACCATATCCAAAATAATATCACAATACCAATGATATTTACAAAAACAGCCAAGAAACATCCATCAAAGCCTTGTCTAGTGTCAGAAGAAGGAACACTTACATTTGAAGAAGTTGAGAATCTGTCAAATCAGATAGCTAATTACTTCTATCAAGCAGGATATCGTAAGGGGGATGTGATAGCACTATGCTTCCCAGAGAACAGAATACAATATGTCTGTTACTGGTTAGGGTTGGCAAAGATTGGTGTTGTAGCAGCATTAATTAATTACAACCAGCGAGACATAGCACTTTCTCATTCTATAAATGCAGCAGACTCAAAAGCCATTATATTTACTCAGGATTTATCAGATGGTATGTTGATACATTGTAAAATCTTAACGAGCTTCGTACACCAGATATTTTGTTGTTAGTCTTTCAGTTTTCACATTTCTTGTAAAATGAATAATATTTATTGAAAATTGTGAATGGAATTACTGTTGACTCAATTATTTTTTTTTTAATGTTTATGACCGGTATTTTCAGATGTGGTAAATGATTGAGATTTTTTTAATGGAAAATAAAAACAATTTGTAAAAATGGTAAGGTGAATTGGATGCATGTATTATAGGAGGTGCATGATTTTTGTCAGTTACTTGTCTGAACTTGTATAATTAGAATGAGTTTGATTGCTACCTTTACATTATCAACCTGCGATAGATGTTTTAAATTGGGCATTCTTGTTTGCCTTCAGGTATGAAATTATTACCATCAACAACTGTACCATCTTACTTGAAGCAAAATCACATATTAAAGATATTGAGGAAAAATAGCCAGTTTACAGTATTTTAGATTCGTTGCCATGCAAGACTCTCCCTTCTCTAGGATAAATGATAGTGTCCAAGAAATTCTGCCAATATGTCTGAAGTTGTGTTACTGTAATCAATATTGAATATTGAACACATGTATTAATATTAGCAGCTTGATGGAATTTTATTTCTTGTCCATCATTAATCAGTATGAATAACACATTCATTTACATGTACTACAAGTTTGTAGTGAAAATATTGAAACGTAAATTTTATAATACTAATTACAATATATCTACATGTATGCTTAAGCATTATAATTTACTAGTATGTAAAATGTTTTTAGTTAAAACAAATGAAAATATTTCCTTGCAGCAAATACAATTTTTCCGGAAATGAAGTGGAGGAAGTCATGGAAAGTAAAGAGAAAAGTATTCTTGTTACAAATCATTTAACTATTTAAAGATAAATCCATGATCACTTTTGATTTCAGCATTGATCGATGTTGCTTCACAGATACAAAACAAAGTTAGGTTTTACTGTACTGGGAATATGTCACCAAATCAAGTCTTGTCAACAGTAATGTTACAGTCAGAACTTACACGCAGTCCTACATACCCTCCACCTGCTGTCAAAGTAGGTTACACAGGTAATACTGTTTAGTCAACATGTAACCAATGTCAGTATTATATCTTTGAACATATAGCTTATTTTATAATTTGTCAGTCATTTGTCAATGAAAACTACTTGAATATGCAAAATACCTTTAAAAATGATATTGCATAGATCCTATAACAGTCATTCTCATGGAGATGCATCCAGTTTCAAACTCGTTACAGTAAAAGATGATTAAGCAGCAAATATAATTTGGGAGACCATTAAAAGTCAATAAAATGAAATATAGGTTTTATGTAATTTTTAGAGCCTCTAGTTTAAATTCCAAGATATTATTGAATTCCTCCACTCTTTTGAAATGACATTTATTTTTTAAAACTTTCATATATTGTCTAAAATATATGGAATACATGTAATTTCTTTTCTTTTTTTTACAGAAAAATTATTTTATGTATTTACATCAGGAACCACAGGGTTACCAAAGGCAGCTATAATTAGTCATTCCAGGTATTTTACTTTTAGAACTCTTTCTAATGTCTAATATCATGAATATGTTATCAAATTACCCTAGTCTTATCATTTTTAAGACATGTCATGTGTTAACATTTCGGCAGATTGAAGTTTAATCATAAACATTTTTAACGGCAATGACAGTTAAGATTACTGAAAGTGAAAATAAAAGGTTGTAAGTCATGACAGTGTGCAGATTTTGTATATTTTATATTTTTCAAATTAGACGACACTTTATTTGCAGTTCTGTACCATTCTTCTATTAAAGGCTTTAATTTTGTTTTTCTGCAATACACTGAATTTTTCTGGTTTTCTCACTAAGATTTTGACACAATTATATTATACATGTATGTGAGGTCTTTAGATATGTTGGAATTCTTCACAAGGATATGATCACCAAAATGAGGTAAAGTGACACTATTTATTTGAGAGGACGAGGGGAATAACTTACAAGGAATAGCCAATAGCCTCCTACACAGGAATTGAATATGCCGAAAGATAGATGCACTGGACTCTCCTAGAGGGCCAATAGGACTGGCCTTCATGTAAGCAACGCTGCCAGTGTCATCAAACATTATTTTGGGATAAAAAGTAAATTTTACTTAGTTTTCTTGGCTTCGTAAAAGGTTAGATAAAATTCCTTACTTTGTGTCAGTGGGAAAATTTTCAACTTGGTCATATGAGAAATACAGAAATTTCAAGGCAATTTTTCTGTCTCGTATTGGAATTCAAGTTTTTTTTATATTTTGTAAAATTGTATACATGTATTTGTATTTCACTAGATTATTCTTTCTTTCTAATTGTTTTGTTCCTTCCAGATTTTACTACATGACAGTTGGTGCTACTTCCTTAGCTAATATGACAGAGAATGATGTTCTCTATGATACATTACCGTTGTACCATACAGCAGGGGGTGTGGTAGGAGTTGGTAGTATGATAGTTTTAGGGTGTACACTAGTCGTTCGTAAGAAATTTTCTGCAAGCCGATTTTGGGATGATTGTATTCAAAACAATTGTACTGTAAGTACACGATTACATTTGCATTTTGTATATTAACCTCTTAAAATATCTATTATTATTGGTTCTCTTCAAACATGATACATACTGTTATAGGAAAAAGTAGAGGTATACATCAGATAGTATTTGGCACAAGCTTAGTTCACAGGATCATAGTTTCCAGAAACCTGTTTGCACTTGTAAATTTACCATTTTCCAGTTCAGCTTCAAGAAATTTGTTGATTTGCATATTCATTTCACATGAATTTTCTAGTCTGTACATTCCAAACAACCCCTATCCTAGATGTCCTTGGACATGAAATTGCATTCATGTTTAAAAACAGTTAAATTTAACAGAAGGTTACTTTTAAAGATATCACATCAGTATTTTGATTGTTATAAATTTTAAAGTAGAGTTAAATTATTTCTTGCAAAAATGTATGTTGGGGCCTTTTATAGCCAAATAAAGGTACAGGTTTTTCTCATTATTGAAGGCTGTACAGTTGCCTTTAATTGCTTACATCCACTTCATTTGAACTTTGGTGGATAGATATCTCATTGGCAATCATACCACATCTCATTATTTTTACACAACTTATTTTAGGTAACTGTGGCATTATTGTTGATGGATATCATTTTTTTTTGTGAAAATTTTATTGGTTTGTAGGGTTTTAATTTAGAAGTTTTAAGATTAACACATTGGAAGTCAATGAGAAATAGTGTAAATTAAAATAAAAAAATTGGAGCATTTATTATTGCGATTAATTATAGAATAATTGGCAAAAATGTGAGATTAATTGATTAGTGCAATTTCAGAAAATGCTTTGTACAAATTCAATATTCACATTAATTTTATTTTTGCAAAACCTAAAAATCGCAAATTGCAAATTTCGCCCCCCCAAAAAAACGAAGTACCATGATAGAACTATGACATTCAGCCTGAGAACTGGCGATCTTTGTCAATTAAGACTGGGGTTGACCACATTTTAGTATTTTTTAAAACTCACAACCTCAGAGTTGACAGGTGAGTTATCACCAAGATAACTATTTAGACAACATGGCTACCTAGACCCCTGATTTTTTTAGTTTCAAATGATTTGCTATTTGCATAATTCAATGACGGTTTTTGTCACAAAAAGTTTATCACAAGCTATTTGTTTTTGGATTTTATAAAGATTGAAGGTGTATTTAAGCAAGTCAATTGTTTTTAAAAGAGATTTGTAAAAAAAACTTCCTGCATTGTAATTCCTTATTCTCCCAATTGGAGATAACTCAGGCCCATCAAATGACAATTCAATTTGATGTTTCTTCCCCTATAATTTTTCAAAAAAGGTATATTGTAGCTGATTATTTTTAGTTTATATGATTACAGAGACAGCTCAAATGTTACAAGTTAAAAAGAATTATATAAAGCAGAACTTACAGAAGACTTGATAGTGTTATAGCAATTTAATACTGTTTGTCTTGCCCTTCGTGGATCTGATTTTACAATGAACAAGTTTTGATTGATTGACCACCTGATCAAATTGATAGTCAATCTGAAAGCCTTTAGTTAAGAATTATTTTACAATTGCAATACATGTACTAATATAAAAATAAGGAGATGTGGTATGATTGCCAATGAGACAACTTTCTACCAAAGTTCAAATGAAGTGGATGTAAGCAATTATAGGCAACCATACAGCCTTCAACATTGAGAAAAACCCATACCGTATAGTCGGCTATAAAAGTCCTCGACATGAATAATATGAATCAGTTTAATTGAGAAAACTTAGGGCCTAATTTATAACAAAAAAGTTTATGAAAAAAAGTATGACAGACATGAACCAACGACATTGCTGACTTTTTGTAGTCTTTTTGTGTCTTTTCATGTAGAAGTTGAATAAAATGTTTTACCAACTCATCAGTTTGGTTGAATATTACATTGCACACTGCAGTTTAAAATTTTTTTTATCTGCTTGAGTGTGCAGGATAGCAACACTTCAACACAGTCAAGTCACGGTAACAGTCAGATATGAAAGTAATGGATAAATGACAAGATTGTCTAATACAGTAATTTGAAATATCTTGGCCATTCGATTCTTCTGCTAAAGTCTGAAATGAAGAAATGATAATGAAATATTTTTCCTGCACCAAGTTAGAATGTTTTTTTTTTGTAGTGCCCTTTTCCATTCTGTTGATGATATTGATCAGTTGTTATGAGTTATCTTAAATATGAAAGCAGTACTATTAAATGGATACCTGGTACATATTGTTCTCATATCTTCCCTTAGTACTCATTCAGTCATTCCTCACTATAATTAAATTCCAATCTTTCATGGAATAGTTCTGTGAAGACATAATAACTTGTTCTTGTATTTTATCTTATGTATGCAACATATCTACTCCTGGTGATTTAGATTCATATTATAATCTTTTTGTAATTTGACTTTAAGGAATATTCATTATTATCATAATATCATATTATTCAAAAGCTGTGATTTTTCAGTTCATTTCCTCTAGTATTTCAGATATGAAAAAAGGTACCACATGGGTATTACCAAAAATATATTGACCTTATCAATTTTTAACTTTTGATTATAAATTCCAAATTTCAGCTAATCAGATTGAGGTTTCACTAGGCTTTAGAAAGCCTTAACACAAACACCACTAGATTATTAAAGTCAGACGATTTATCTTTGTAAATTTAAATATTACTGAGTTTGATGAAAGACTTGCAAGTTTTGAATTTTGACTTTCATAATAACAGAGAAATGTGCAAAAAGAGCACTGGGACAGTAAAATGACAATTCATTACAAATTTATAAAAGAGTACTTGGTACTGAAAATCTTAAAACTCTTTTTGAATATGTATTTGTTTCATTACTGGGGGTGGTATTTTGTTGTATATTTTTTATAATTACACCTTTTACAAATATCCTGGATTTTATTGATTGATGGCTATTGTATTTTTGATGTACAATGTATTTTCTTTAATCTGATGAATATTATTCATATTTCTCCACCCTAATGGTATTTCTCTTTTTTTATCCTCTCTCAAGTGGTTTTTCGCTAATGTCTTATTAGAAAACAATGATAGAATTAAATTTACTTTACTATTGGTATTCATTGTATTAACAAACAGATATATCATTTTCAAGAGGTAAATTTTCAACAAAAAAGCAGTCTTTGGAAGAAAGTTTTACTTCGCTCAACTGTTTTTTTTTTGCAAATTTACACCCTTCTGAATGTGATGTATCTGGTCAATACTGTCTGTTAAATTTTAATGTTATGAGTCTGTTAAGTTATTCAATCAGATAGAATTTATTAGATGTTTAACAAAGGAGATACAAATGTACATGTATGGTATGATTGCTATTTAGATGACAATCCTGGATCCTAATCCATATACCAAAGGATAAAGATGTAAACAATTACAGGTCACTGTATAGGGTTCAACAATTAGCAAAACCTATACCATATACAAAGCTATAAAACCCTCCAGTATGACAAATTGTGAAAATATTTCAAAAGAGAATATCAACAGCCTGGTTTATATTACAACATTGAATATGGAAACCAAATATGACAGACAGCAACCTACTTCAATCACTGGATTACATGTCCCTCCTGGCTTGGGACAGGCACATACAGAATGGGACAGTGGTGTAACAACAAAACACAAAAAAACAGACTGTTTGATTTAGTAGGAAAAGGCTGGACTCATCAGAATTGTCCTTAGCACAAAACCTTAGAACAAAAAGACAAAATACACAAAACACTGATCTAATAGTACTTACAATTACTGAAAGCTAGTTCAAAGCCTTTCCTGTTACACCAATGATTGCACCTCAACAAAAGTTTGTTTTATCATCTGTAATTAAAAACCTATTATTTTTAACCAGGCTGCACAGTACATTGGAGAAATATGTAGATACTTATTGGCTACTCCAGCAAAACCTACAGACAATCAACATAAAGTCAGAGTTATGTTTGGAAATGGTCTAAAGCCAGAAATCTGGAAAATGTTCCAAGATCGATTTGGTGTTAAACAAATGGGTGAATTCTATGGAGCAACAGAAGGAAATTGTAATACAAGTAAGAATTTACAGGCTTTAAATTGAAGTCAAAGACCAATTTGTGGTGAACTAATATACTTTAATTACTTTGACCATCAGTTGCATGATTCAAAGTTTTCATTAGACATTCTGGTGAAAAGTAATTTAGCTAGGAACTAATAAGAAAGTTAAAATATCTTTAAATTTTTCCAAACAATGCACTGTATTTCAAACGTTAAAGGTGTACTCACAAAAGCTTGAAAATTGTACCCTGGTGAATTATTATTTTATTAAAGAATACTGTAAACAAACTTATTTTCGCGGATACTTTATTTTGCGTTTAGCCCTTTCCAGCCCACTTCATGGCGATTTTCGCGATTTTCAAATTTACTTGATATGGTTAAATAACAAAGATCAAATCTTACATATATATTCGCGTTATTTTTCTACTCTTGAAATTAAATTGCACTCCAAAATTAGTTGGTTTACAGTACATATCATAATGCTGTAAACTTAAAGTACACTATAAAAAAACTCTTACTCCCAAAGATATTTACTTATTATTTGAAAGTTTAAATATTCTATATAAGTAGTGTTTGAATGCTACTTCATAAACAGTGTTTGAAATTTTTTAACTTACTTTTCCATAAGGCATATATAAGTACTTTCACTTAAGGATTGCAGCTTGCCCTAATAAATGACAATCATCCTTATTATTGTCAAATATTTGCTGATTTGTCTTTTAAAAGAACAATGCTTTTTATTGGTGAATATGACGACTCATAAAAAAGATTACTTTTAGTTCATCCCCTTTTAATACAAACATGCAAAGGCCTTGTGATGTGTTTTTGAAATTCTTTTAGATTTAAACAGATAACTTCTCCCAGTAAAGGAGTACATAATTTAGAGACAAGATTTATAGATTTGTGTTGAGGTATTTTAGCAGGTGACACATGTATCTGTTGAACTATGATTCATACAATGCTGTTTTATCTGTATATAAAAAAGGGAGATAACTGAAACCTTGTAAGAGAATCATGGTATATATTATATTTCAGTGAATCCAGATAACACAATAGGAGCAGTAGGCTTTACTACAATGATTGCTCCATTCCTTTATCCTATCACTCTGATTAGATTTAACAAAGATACTGGAGAGTACCTCAGAGATAGAAATGGCATTTGTATAAAGGCAAAACCAGGTATGTATGACCTGGGACTAATACATTTATGTCTTAGTCCCAGGTATGTATGATCTTGGACTAATACATTTATGTCTTAGTCCCAGGTATGACCAAAACAGAATGAAAAAAGTCAACATGGTTATAGACCTACAGAAGTTGGAGAAGCAAATTGTTGAGATTTATATGAGTCTACACCCTCAAGCTAAATGTAATAGCTAAAAATATACTCACTAGGTTTTGTGGGTCATTCTATCTAAGGGTAATAATATGCCATTTTTTGTCTTCATTTTCAACAATATAATCATGCAGATAGAAATTCCAAAATTACTGACATTAACTATTTTAATGTTTAAATACTAAAGATATTTTCTTCTTAGAACACAGGTAAAAGATAACAGGTAAAATTTGTTTAGGAATGCTATCAATTATTTACAAGTGTGGTTTAAAATATGAAAAATAAAACTATTATCTAAAATTATGTGAACAGCCCTGACAGTGCACTTATAATTGAAATTTTTTCGAAGATTTCCCATAAAATCATTTCTGCTTATTAACAATGGGGTCCTTTATGTGTATAACACTTGGAATAAATTAAAACAACTAATTTTTAAGACAATTATCATCTTTAGTGCTTTTATCTCAACACCAAAAAGCTCCAGCAATAGTTACATTTAATTAGTAACTAGAATTGTAACGTTTCAATGAGTTTTGTAAATGTTTAGTAAGACTCATTTGACATTCTAGATGTTTGCACTTAAATCTTCTACTTGATTTATGAAAACCAAATAAGCAATATGAATTCAAGTTTCAAGAACGATGATTCAAATTGACAGGTTTACATGGTGATGAATAATTACATGTATGAAATAGTACACCTAAAATAAATTATTTGGGTCTTAGAAAATCAGTGTAAAGGTAGAATGGTCATTTTTCTCTTTAGTTTAAAATCTCAGAAGGTCAAGGAGTAAGACAATCCATATTTTGAAACTGAAATCAGAACTGAAATTTAGAATCATGCTTCATGATATGTGAGAATGCTTTACTGTGTGATGTGTCTTGACATCAGTTGCTAATCAACTTCATGATTGCCATAGACTTATATATTCTTACACATAATGGTCATGTATGAATTACATTTTTCTCAAGACCTACAGCTTCCTAAAATTTGATACCAAGCTTCATTTGAGCATGCTCTCCTGTGTGATGTGTTTTCACAATCATCACTCACAGTCAATTTTGTTGTTTGACATTTGTCATGTACTGAGTTACAGATTCGTCAAAGCCAGAGAAATTCTTTTTATTTTTAATCTTTTGTCATTTAAGTTTATCTTTAAAATCTTAAAGAAACTCAATGATCCTAACAATGTTTTCATAGAAAATATAATATCTTGTTCTTGGAATTCAAAATGTGATTTGAAATGAATTTTCGACTTACTTCGCAATTATCATTTTTAATTTAAAGGTGAACCTGGTGAATTGGTAGGCAAAATTGTTAAAGGTGATGCATTAAGAGAATTTGATGGATATGTTAACAGACAAGCAACAGATAAAAAAGTGTGTCCAGATGTTTTTAAAAAGGGAGACTTAGCCTTCTTAACAGGTATGCAGACAATATTGTGTATACTATATTGGATAAGAAAGGATATGGTGTATCAATTCATGACACAAAATCACTTCACAGACATGAAAAAATTTATGTGTATAAGTCAGCCACTAGTATCAGTTTATGTGGAATTCTTTGCTTGATGGTGATCATGCTACTTCTGTGAATTGAAGAACACAGCTGCAGGGAAATATAAACAATGCACACATTTAGATAACTATGTTGTACATCAAGATATATGTTAGTTAACTTGGCAGTTGGTTTTCTTGTTTGCATTGTCTTACAATTTTTCATGTCTGGACCTTTTATAGCTGACTACATGGTATGGGTTTGCTAAATTTTGAAGGCTGTATGGTCAGCTATAGTTGCTTAAATCAACATAATTTGAATTTTTGTGGATATATGTCTAATTGGCAATCACTTCTCATCATCATATTTTTTTATTGGCAGGAAATATATTAATAGGGCAATTAATTCAAGATATGAAATAAGAAGATGTGGTATAATTGCCAATGAGACATCACTCCACCAGAGACCATACGACATAGAAGTTGATAACTATAGGTCACCTCATAGCCTTCAACAATGAGCAAATCCCATACCGCATAGTTAGCTATAATAGGCCCTGAAATGACAAATGTAAAACAATTTAAATGAGAAAACTAACAGCCTGATTTAAGAACAAAACAATGAAAAAACAAATATGATATACAGCAACAAACAACAACCACTGAATTACAGGCTCCTGACTTGGGACAGGCACATACAAAAAATGTGGTGGGGTTAAACATGTTTGAAGGCGCCAACCGTCCCCTAACCTGGGACAGTTCTGTAACAGCACAACATATGAACAAGATGACTGCTTTAAATTTTTTATAAATAACTGGCAAAAAGTTAGATAATGGTGTAACAGAAATAGTGAAATTATCTCAAGAACGAAAAGGCCATAATTGTAAAAATATGATAGCATACACCTCAAGCATATGGAAAATTTACGGCTTTCACACAGTACAAGAGACAAACTCTCCATATATTAGGGAAAAGAAAGGATATAGTGTATCAATTTAAAATCATTACATTCCCATGAAAAAAAACAAAGGTAAAGAAACAACTCCTTTATTGCTGTTCTTCATCTCAAAGTCTCACAGTAAAAGTAATTGATGTCCTTAGTAATTTAATAGAATACATTTTTTATAGGATTAAACGCCTTTTTTAAGGAATTTATTGGTTTATAAACTCGACCAATTCACTCACAAACAAATAAAAGTCCAAAGGACTTTTATAATATGTTTGTGAGTGACTTGGTACAGTTTATGCACCAATAAATTCCTTTAAAAAGGTGTTTAATCCTTATAATTCTTTAAAATTGGAGATAAGAAATTTATTTTTCCACACTCGTAACCTCTATCACACGTAAATTGTTTATTTGTGTCATTGAATAGGCCTGGTGCATGAATATATTTGTTGGTTAACGCAAAAATATGTACTCCATGAAATTTGCAATCTGATAAAAAATAAACTACAAAAACTCTTATTATCATTCAAACGAATGTTTTGGGTTTTTAATTAATTTAACTATTAAGACCTATTAACGCGAATTGAACATAAATTTTGTTAACGTCGTTCCGGATTGTGTCATTATCGCCGCCATCTTGTTTACATTGGTTACGAAAAGAAGTCCAGTCAACGTCGTCTATCGAAAAATAAACAACGTCAAGAACAACTACCGGAAGTCTTCTCAACCAATCATATCAACATATTCTCTAATATGCAAATCATATAAGAATTATTTGTTTATACATTTAATTTTGAAAAAAATCTGTAATGCTGTTTTACATAACTATTGATATGGACTTTGTATTATTGTTAGTATTATCTTCATGTAATTTTTCATTGTTTTTTACAGGTGATGTATTAATTATGGACACGTTTGGATACTTTTACTTCCAGGACAGAACGGGTGATACATTCCGGTGGAGAGGAGAGAATGTATCAACGTATGAAGTAGAATCTATCATCAGTAATCATATACAACTTAAAGACTCGGTAGTTTATGGAGTAGAAGTGAAAGGTAAAATAGACATTTGAAAAAGAAGTGAAAGGTATAATAGACATTTGAAAAAGAAGTGAAAGGTATAATATACATTTGAATAAAATAGGTAAAATTTTCCTTCATTTCAACTTGTCCAAAATTTTAGCAATATCCATTTACTGTGGATTCAAATTTGTCTCAACAAGACTTAGGTGTGCTGTGTGGCTTGTCTCAACGAGACTTAGGTGTGCTGTCTGGCAGACAACAATTATTACCTTATGATTAGGTTAGTTTAAGATAAACCACCAATGGTAAGTCAATGATATTTGGTATGCAGTTGTATAAGCATTTGCACATCTCATTTAAATTGAGATTCTTTTGACCCTGCCACCTCAGTCATGGTTCATTCACTTTGAAACTTTTGCATAGTTTACACGTTAAAGTTTGTGTTTAGGTCAGATTACAGGGAACTATAATGATAAATCATTTGTATTTAGTATGTAGTTGTATTAGTATTCTCATTTCGAAGGAGGTTATTTGACCTGCACTATCAGTCATGTTTGATTGACATTAAATATTTTGCATAGTTTTACATTCAGAGTTTTATTTATGACATCAATAAAGAATACAGATTCACAGAATTTTTACATCCCTACTTTAAATTCTAAATTGATGGTTTTTTACCCAAAATATTTCATTTGAAAGAGTTGCAGTATTAAAAGAACATCATCTCTTTATATAAATTTTATAATTTGTACTCTGCTTGAAACGGGATAAAAACAATTCATGAAATGAGGATGAAGGACAGTGGTGGTCAATTTTTATGTACACATGATGATTTGGGATATTCCAAGAAACCAGTTAGTGACTATTTCTTTATATGACCCTAAGTCATTTATAATTTTAGGTTTAGAAGGTAAAGCTGGTATGGCAACCATTGTTGATGAGCACAAAACCCTTGATCTTTTGTCCTTGACAAAAGCATTACAGAAATCTCTGCCTCCCTATGCTAGACCAGTGTTTATACGACTGGCAAGTGAAGTTGATACAACAGGTAACTATTTATTAACAATGACAAAAATAACTATTGAATTATATAGGTCTTTACATAAAGCAGTAGATTTACTGGTAACTAAATCTGATGTCAATAGTACTCTTATGGTAATGCATGAATAATTAATGTGTCACATGGCAACACATTTAATTTCATTAGCAATGCTTAATAGACTACTTTTGAGTATAAAAATGAATTGGTGAAAGAAAAGTAAAATTTAATGAAACATTAGCTGATGTACTCAAAACAATTAATTTGATTATGACATTAAATTACTGTTCTTCATTGCAACTTAGGACTGGCACATAATAATGATGTCTCATTGTTCAGTCTACTTCACAAAAAAATACTTCAGGACACTTGAACTCTTAGAACTGTTTTCATAACATGGTAACACTTAATAAGAGATCACATGTATATATCAATAGGAAACATCAGGGGTGCCTTTATGTTTCTTAGGTCAGTTTGACATTTTTATCCTGCCTTTTAAATGCTCTTATCAAGTCACTATGCTTATGCAAAGAGGCTTTTATCTACCAGAAGAACAATTTGCCAAAACACAAGTTGCAATGTGAATTATTTCACTCAAACTGAGAAACTGTTGAACAATTTAAAACCATTGAAGATTGAAGGTTATAGTTAGCATGTACAGTGTTATAAGAATACTGTTACCGTACAAGTATGATGACTTACAATGTTTCCTATACATTTTGTTTAAATGAAGAAAAGTCTATTTTCAGGCACCCATGTATGAAACCAACTATAATAAAGAAATTTTATAATTAATATGTTCTATACATTGAATGATACAAAATGTAACACTAGATTTCTAAATTAATATGAAAGGGAGATAATGTTACAGAAGACACCATCACTTCATGACTAAGGTTATCTCCCATTCATAAAATATTCAATATTTTCATTCTTTATTTTACTTTCTGTTCAGAACAACTATTGAAGCAATGTTTAGAACAGATATATTATAAAAGTTCCTTCCTTATGAAAAACCTTTTTTATGTGTGCCAGATAGCTTTTTTGCTTTGATTTTTATAAATTCGTGAACAGTCCTTTTCTTTGTATCCTATAAACACAGGAGACTAACTGGGTGATTAATTTTTTACCCTTTTTTTCAGGCACACATAAATTAAAGAAAGTAGACTTAGCTAAAGAAGGATTTAATCCCAATATTATCAAAGACCACCTGTATTACCTGAATAGTAAAACACAACAGTATGAACCATTGACAGTACAAGTTTATAATGATATATGTAGTGGGAAAATTAGACTATAACTTTTATCTGTGGGGAAAGAATATGAATGGCAGCTAGGTTTCAGGGAGAAATACATTTTTGGACTAAAACTCATTCCTTTCTTCAAGTTTATTAAAACAAAAAATTGACAAGGACTAGTGACTACTTGGTGAGATAAAAAAAATCATGTGTTTTGAAAGACATTGTCGGTTTTTAATTAATGAACGTTTTATAAGTTTGTTTGTTTATTGTGTATATTATGAGAGTTATTCCTTGAAAAATTCAGAGAATTAAATTTTAATTCAAGCATGATAGTATGACAATTGTGAATATTATGAGAGTTTTACAATAAAATTGTTATTGTATGATATGCCTCACTCATGTGATTTGTGTTATCCTTATTATTAAAGTAAATGAGTGTGAAAAAATAAAAACTTTACATATATGTTTAATAACCAATTTTCTTACGACTGGTGGGTTTAATATTAATTTTACATAGAACTTTTTAAACAATTATCACTTACTGAAATCAATCAGCATGCTTCAGGTGACTTAGTTTTATCTAATATCTGAGTTTGACCTATGTATAAATGACATTTAATAATGCATTTCCGTTCGATTCCCACCCTTAGCATTCATTTATACGGCTGGTGCAAAGCAGGCAGAATAGCCTAGTTGCCCCACATATACAGGTCTTGATGAGATTCAAATTGAATTGATAACTTGCATGAAAATAATTTTCATGTATACTTTCAGTTGTATCTTTGTATATCTCAGAGAGAATAAGGTGAATTACATATGAATTTGACATCAGTCACTGAAAGTCGAAGGAGGTACCGGTATATATTTTCATCAAATATTAATCAAGGCATCTTATTAAATTTTTTTTTATCCCAATCCAGCAAACTTTAGTAAAAAAAAATACAAATGATAACTATAGATAATTTCTAGTCTCGTGCTGCTTAAATGAGTATTTGTAACTGGAGTTGTAAACATGCATAAACAAATATTCTCTTATGGTTGCGGCCTGTTATCTATTTCTTGCATGAAGAGATATTTCTTTTAAGTGATGCGTCAAATGGGTTAATTTGATTGGCTTATCCAGCATAAAAAAAATTCCCTAATTTCAATTTTTCTGTGAAGAATTTATCCAAGGTTTTGATGAGTGGAAATCTTCATCCAAGATTGATTGATTGGGCACTTGTTTGTTATATCATGGCAGCCAGTTTCCTTGGTGGAGGAAGCTGAAATACCTGAAGTGAATCATTAACATTTGGCAAGAAAACCTTCAAAATTTGAAGAGAATCTGTTAAAAAAAGAAGTCGCTAGCATTACGAGAAATAATACTGTTAAAAAAAGAAGTCGCTAGCATTACGAGAAATAATACAAATTCCCCAGATGAAAAAATGGTCTCCAGTTTTAGGTTTTTCTGATTATGAAAAACTTATTTTTGATGAATAGAAACCTTCATCCAAATTTGAAGGGGATCTGAGAAATATTAAGGAGCTAAAATTGGGACAAATAAGAAATTGCTGAAGTCTGGGAAAACATGGTTTATTTGTGCTTCATACCATTGTATTAAGTTATGCCATTTGCAACTTTTTTTCATAGTTTGTTCTCTATGTTGTACTGTAACACCACTGTCACAGGTTAAGGGAGGATTGAGCACTTACAAACATGTTCAACACCCCCAAGTCAGGAGCCTGTAATTCTGTGATTGTGGCTGTGTTTGTTATATTTGTTTTTCATTAATAGTATTGTAGAAATTATGTTGTTAGTTTTCTCATTTGAATTGGTAGCATTTTCATTTCCAGGCCTTTTATAGCCAACTATACAGTATGATTTTTGTTGAGCCTGCGACTTTTGTCGCAGAAAGCTCGACATAGGGATAGTGATCCGGCGGTGGCGTTAGCTAACTTCTTACAAGCTTTATATTTTAGAAGCTAGAAGACCTGGATGCTTCATACTTTGTATATAGATGCCTTATGTTACGAAGTTTCCGTCTGTCATATGTCCATTGTCCTTGACCTCATTTTCATGGTTCAGTGACTACTTGAAAAAAAAGTCAACATTTTTGTAATGTTAATTTCTTTCTTATTATGAGTAATAGGATAACTATATTTAGAAGTGCTTACCTTGCAAGGTCCTCATGCCGTCAGACAATTTTCATTTGACCTTGACCTCATTTCATGGATCAGTGAACAAGGTTAAGTTTTCGTGGTCAAGTCCATATATCAGATACTATAAGCAGTAGGTCTACTATATTTGGTATATGGAATGATTGAAAGGTGTACATGTCCAACTGGTAGGTGTCATCTGACCTTGAACTCATTTTCATGATTCAGTGGTCAAAGTTAAGTGTTTGAGTTTTGGTCTTTTTTTCTATTTTTCTAATACTATATGCAATAGGTCAACTATATTTGGTGTATGGAAATATTTTATGAGGTACATGTCAGTCTCGCAGGTTTTATTTGACCTTGACCTCATTTTCAGGGTTCATTTCTCAGTGTTAAGTTTTTGTGTTTTGGTCTGTTTTTCTTCAACTATAAGCAATAGATCAACTATATTTGTTGTATGGAAGGGTTATAAGGTGTATATGTCTTGCTGGCAGGTATCATCTGACCTTGACCTCATTTTCCTGGTTCATTGGTCAATGTTAAGTTTTCCTGGTTAAGTTTGTTTCTTAGATACTATAAGCAATATGTCAACTATATTTAATGCATACATTGATTGTAAGGTGTACATGTCTGTCTGGCATGGTTCATCTGACCTTGACCTCATTTTCCTGGTTCATTGGTCAATGTTAAGTTTTCTTGGTTAAGACTGTTTCTTAGAAACTATAAGCAATAGGTCAACTATGTTTGGTTAATTGAATGATTGTAAGGTGTACATGTATTTCTTGTTTGGTTTATCTGACCTTGACCTCATTTTCTTGGATCATGTGAAGTTTATGTGTTACTTGTAGTAAAGCTTTATATTTAGGACTATCAACATAAAATCAATGGTTGGTAAAGAAGGCGAGACATTTCAGCGTGTGCACTCTTGTTTCTCATTGTTGAAGGCTGTACAGTGACCTATAATTGCTTTTATCTTCATTTTTATACGACCGCAAAAAAATTTTTGGGATCATATAATGGTATGATGTCGTCGTCGTCCAAAGACACATTGGTTTCCGGACAATAACGTTAGTTTAAGTGAATGGATCTCAATGAAATTTTTTTAACAAGATTCAATACCACAAAAGGAAGGTTGGGATTAATTTTGGGGATGATGGTCCCAACCGTTAAGAATTTAGGGGCCCAAAACAAGCATTTTTCTAGTTTCAGGATAATAACTTGTGTATAAGTATTTTGATTGCTCTGAAATTGTACCACAATGTTTAACACCACAAGAAGAAGGTTGGGATTCATTTTAGGGGTTATGGGGCCAACAGTTTAGGAATTAAGGGCCAAAATGGGGCCAAAAACAAGCATTTTTCTAGTTTCCAGACAATAACTTGTGTGTAAGTGTATGGATCTCTCTGACATTGTACCACAAGGTTCCATATCACAAAGGGAAGGCTGGGATTGAGTTTGGGGTTAATTGCCCAAAACATGTAGAAATTAGGGGCCAAAAAAGGGCCAAAAACAAGCATTTTTCTAGTTTCCAGACAATAACTTGTGTTTAAGTGTATGGATCTCTCAGAAATAGGACTACAAGGTTCCATACTTCAAAGGCAATGCTTGGATTGAGTTTTGGGGTTATTGTTCCAAGGGGGGTTTCAAAAAGTTGGGGGGGGGGGGGGGGGGGGGGGGGGTTAGGGGATTCATATTTTTTTCAAAATTTTTCAAATTTCAAATTTTTGAAAAGTTTCAAGAAGAAATCTTCAATTGCACAGTATTGCGCAATAGATTTGTAAGATCTTTGACCACATTTATTTTGTGTCAGAAACCTATATTATGTCAAAAATTTGATCACAATCCAAATTCAGACAGTATCAAGCTTGAATATTGTGTCCAAATTTGCCCCAACTGTTCAGGTTCGACCTCTGCGGTTGTACCAGGCAGCGCTCAGCGAAGCATTTTATTTGAACTATGGTGGATAGTTGTCTCAATGTCAATCATAGTCCTTATTTTTATTATATTTACATCCCTTCCAAAACTGGTCTCCCATTTCAGATTTCTGGACTCTAATGAGGGGAAACCTTAAACTAAAAAAAAATGAATATGATCCAAAACAAAATTAAGGCACTAGCAAGGGGACAACAAAAGGAATAATGAATGGATTGAAGGACAGACAAACAGGTCAAAGACATTATACCCTCTGCAACTTGTTTGCCTGGAGTATATCTAGTGTAATCACATGACATGTATGTCCAAGCATCCTGGTCAGTGATTGTTTTTGGTACTATTCTTGTTTTTGTCATTTAGGGAATATGGTTTTCATATTTGTCATTTGGTCTATGGACAGATGTCTCATTGGCAATCTTACATCTCCGTTCTATACGACCGCAAAATTTTTTGCGTTCGTATTATGTTATGGCAATGTCTGCTTCTGAAGACATTTTTGTCGCAGTATGCGAGACATAGGTATTACTATCTGGGGTGGCGGAAATGTCTAGCCTGTTTTACTGACCATTGATGTTATGTTGAAAGTCTTAAAGATAAAGGTTTTACTAAAAGCATCACAGAAACTCAGGTCAGATAAATCCTGTCAGACAGACATATACACCTTACAATTTTTTATACACAAAATAAAGTTGACCTATTGCTCATGATAATTGAAAAACAGACCAAAAAAAAAAAAAAATTAACATTGACCAATGAACCATAAAAATGAGGTCAAGGTCAGATAATACCCGCCAGACAGACATATACACCTTGCATTTCAATACACCAAATATAGTTGACCTATTGCCTATAGTACTTGAAAAACAGACCAAAACACGAAAACTTAACATTGACCAATGAACCATGAAAATGAGGCGAAGGTCAGATGATACCGTACAGACAGACATGTACACCAAATATAGTTGACCTGTTGCCTATATTACTTGAAAAACAGACCAAAACACAATAAAATGCTCCGCTGGGCGCAGCTTGATACGACCACAGCGGTCGAACCCTTAACAGTTGGGGCACGTATGGACACAACATTCAAGCTTGATACAGCTCTGAATTTGGATTGTGATTGAATATTTGACACAGCATAGGTTTCTGACACAGAATGAATGTGGTTTAAGAACTTAAAAATTTTTGAATTTACCTATTATGGACCAATATCCAAAATCTAAATACATACACGGTTAGATTCAACATATCAAAGAACCCCAAGAATTCAATTTTTGTTAAAATCAAACTAAGTTTAATTTTGGACCCTTTGGACCTTAAAGTAGACC